CTGCCTGCACCACTGCCTGTACCACTGCCTGGTTGTTTTCTGAGCTCACGAAAATGTTTTTTTGCCTCGATTCTCAGACATCCAGGTCGTGGTCTCTACAGGAGTTGTACATGTGCACATTAGCAACTGGACAGGGCAACTCAAGCAAGTCTTTGTACACAGGAGCATATAGGCAACAGGACTGTACCACTCCTCAAGATATTTAACAAACTAGTTTCACAGCAACATATGGAAAGTCAGTGCATTTACTTGAGAAAATAAAACTTTTTTCCTGACTTAACAAAATTATTATTTGTAAGTATATTAATCTGCTCTTGCTGTTCTCAGTAAACAAGATAGCCCGCCTCGTTTAGCTGCTTTGAGAATGTTGGAGGAAACCTGTTTGATCCAGTTCTATTGATCTCTGTTGAATTTAGAATTTGGGAGAATGTCAGTTTATAAAATAGAACAAACATGTTTATTTTATTTTGAGATATATCTATAAAGTTTAAAACCAGACAGTGTTTTAGATTAGCTCTCGTTAATTCAGTTTTTTTTTACTCAAGGGAAAGCAATACATTTCTTCAGCAGCAGGCTTTTAAAAGCTGAAGAAGACACTTAATTCAAAAAGGTTGCAGCAAAAAGAATATTTTTTTTATTTTCATATGTAACAGTTTCCTCTTTTACATTCACATATTTACAATTAACAGTGGGTAGCATCATCGTTGCACTTCTGCTTCTCTGACATTTAAACTTAAATCTATACACTTGATGCTTATGTACAACCAAAGAAGTAAAGAACAGTTTGTTTAAAAAGTGTAAAACCTATTAAATCCTAAAAATATATCTAAACGTTACAATAGATCTTCTTTGATCCACGGTAATTACAAAAAGAAGACATCTTTGGAGTATAGGCACTTCAGAATTCAGACATATTGCAGCCCTCAGTGTGAAGCATACATTCAGATTTGTCAATGATAAGATCAGAGAAACCATGCAGCAGAAAAGTACCATGGAGTAAAGAGAGGTACGCAGCATTGGAACAGTTTTCACTACATGCAGTTAATCACAGAGGCCATGATGGAGTCTTTGGTTATTGTACAGTGTTTAAAGTCAAGGGGCCAAAAATGAGCAATGTTTTATTTACACATTCATTCTGAAAAAGAGGAAAGTATTTCATCAGCTGCTAATAATATAAAAAAGTTAATAATATAAGAACATTGGTCCAGTCAATGGTTGCACTCCTCCAGAGGCGGTTCCGCCCTGCAGCTGCTTCAAACGGCTCAGTTCCCCTGTGATGCAGCTGCAGCACAGAGCTCCCTTCTCACAGCATCTCCACTGTCCATCTTTGGTTCAGCTTTTTCATATCAAACGTGTTGAGGATCACCTGGTTCTTGTCATATTGTTGACCACCTGAAACCGAGACCGTAAAACCGATGTTTTACATGATGAAACATGTGAGAAAGGGTGCATAAAACGATTTTGGGCCAAACAACAAAAACCTCATAGCAGAAATTGGTAATTATGGAAAACATATAAGCAGCACTGTGCAGTCCCGAGCACTTGAAAACTAGGGACCTGATGCAGCTCTGGGGGAGGGTGGGGGGGGACAGGGCAACACAATGCTGCACAACTCCCAATGGCAGATTGCATTCCACGCCATCAAGTGCAGACCACATGGAGAAAATTTCATGCAAATTGAATTAAAGGTGTGAAATGAGGATTACTTCCTGTTGCCAGTAGGTGGCGTTATCACTACATACAGACTAACAGATCTGTTCACGTGGGGGCTCTGATGAAGCCTCAAGTTAAAAAAAAAAATCATCAAAACTTGACACCACAGTCACATCGTGTGACGAAAACTAAAAAACTGGGGAAGTTTAATCTCCATCTTGATAAGATGACACTCATCAAATTTGAAGATCTGATGAAAGCTCTAGGTGGAGTTCCTTAAAATACACATTTAAAATGGCCACTAAATCCAAATAATGGCCAACTTCCTGTTGCACTTTTCATAATGCTCCTTTTTGTTCATCTGGTCATGATACACGTGTGCACCGATTTTTGCGAAGATCGTTGGAAGCTAACTCAGGGGCTGCATTTTAGGAGGCGCTGTTGCGCCCTGTTGCCACGCCCATTTTAAATGCATCCAGAATACTTAAATTTTAGACACTGTTGAATGTTCTGTGCAGTTTTATGAGTTTCAAGCCCTGAAAAAACACAAGTAAGTGTGCAGTGAAATAATAATAATCGGACCAATTTCAATAGGGCCTTAGCACGGTCGGTGCTCGGGCCCTAATAAAATCCAGACCATTTAACAATCTGTGTAAAAATTCCAGAAATCTCTGTTTTTGGATGTATTCCATAAACATGAGCTCAACAATGATGATGGGTGGGGCAGTAAAGAGAAAGCTCTCTGACCTTTGACCTCCAGGACCAGTTCAGGTTTGAGGTGGAAGCGCACTAGGCCGTCTGGCGTAACGTTCCACAGCTGGTTGTCCTTGCCGCGCTCCGGGGAAACAGTAAGTCGACTCCCCGCCATCACTACGCTGCCTGAGGTCTCCAGGAAACAGTCCTCGATCAGCTGGAGGGAGGGAGGACGGAGATGCATCAATGAGAGCTCGTTGAACGTTATGATATTGCAGCAAATAGCCTGTCAACATAATCTACTCAGGATGAAATGGTTACTGGTTTCATGGTGTATTGTGGTAAAAATTCCACAGTTGCATATCAGGTCCAGAAAGCAACATAGTAGCTTTTGTCTCAGCTTTTTCACAAAGTAGCTTAACTTCTCACTTTTGTTTGTTCCATTGCTGTATTTGACTTGTTTAAATTGGTTATTGCACTGAATATTTTTTCTGTTTAATGTTTGTGAAACACTTTGTAACTGGGATTTTTAAAAGTGCTGTATAAATAGTCATTTATTATTATTGTTGTTATTATTATTATAATTATTAAAATAAAATCTGTAATTAATACATTATTTATATATACAATAAGATGAAATTACTTCACTTTGTGTATCAGTAATTATTGAACATTTTCACCACATTCTAACATTACAGCAATATTACTGATAACAGATGGTGATGAAGGATAAATCTGCATAATCATGTTCTGCTCAGTCCATTTCCTTTTGCATTAGTACCAACTTCCATTAAATCTGTTCATCAGTTTTATTAATACATCCTACTAAAAGACGACAAACTTGACTGAAACCATAACCTCTGCAGTGGAGGTAGCCAGTGGAATGAATGAGGTCTGTAGAGAATATAAGTTATTTCCTGTTTTGGATGTTGCATATGTCGAAAAGATTCCACTACAGAGATGTGGGTTTTGTTATTCAGTACCTCTGGGTCAGGTTGTGTTTTCCTGTGAACACAATCAGACGTTTGTTGGGGGAAAGTAGGTGAGAGTTCTCTTCCTTGTTGTTGCATGTGCTTTTGCTCAGCGCAGATCTTTTTGCAGATGACTGAGCTTGTCACTGGGTTGAGAGGGCGGTACTCAACTCTTCAGGACACAATACAACAGTTTTTGCATCCATAAACATTGTCTATTGTTGCATCTAAAGTAAGTTTAGATGCAACTTCCAACAAATTTGAGGGTTATTAGACAACTGGATTCCCTCAAGGTAACCCTGACCAGTGTTTTAGCAGGATTTGATTGTTGTTGATGTAGCTGAGTACCTTGCAAGTGAGGTGTCCGTCCCGATAGAGCCAGACCTGCTCCACTCCTCCTGTCTCTTCCACAGCCTGAACCCTCATCAGCTTAATGTCATCCATAGTTCCTGTCAGGGACATTATGCATCCTGTCTCCCTGTTCCGCAGGCAGAAGTACATCTGCTTCTGTAAGAAAAGATTCAAAAGCTAAATGTTTGATTTTATAAATGAATATATACGTCAAAGTGAGAGCATGCATGAGACCTATTAAGCTCTACAATGCAGGTATTATCATTTCTTATCTCTCCTTGTGTACCTGGTGTAAAGGACGCAGGGATCCTATCTGCTGCAAGCTGCTTAACTTGCACAAGTCAGTCACATCCCCTGGTTGAAGAAGCAGCTGTTGACCACGGTAGTTGCTTTGTTCATACACGACCCACCTGGAGAAAGGACGGGCAACTATGCGTGTTAGTTCAGTTTTATGAATCTGAAGGATAATAAAAAAAAAACCCAGTCTATTCACATTCCAAGCTGAGCTCCATGATTTACAGCTGTCGTTTTTACCCATTTTAAATCTCAGTGGGTTCCTCACATTTTTGACATCTTAGGCTCTTAACACATACGTGTCCAGTTCTAAAAACTAAGCTAACACCATTTTTGGGAATTTTGTAAGCACTTGTCAAAACCTTTGGAGCAATATTATAATGATCTGAATGTACAACCTTTTTTGGGTTCCTCAAAACATCAGTAGCTAGGGGTTTGGGTAAGTGTTCAGGTAAAAATCAAAATCAAGTTTTTCTACAAACATTTAAAGTATAGTGATATATAACTGAAGTGTTTAATTTATAGAAGTGGTTAAGTGGTGTTTTAGCAGTAATTTCATTAAGATATATTTTACGTAACTATAAAACATAAATGAATTCAAATTTGGTTTGCTGTTTGCTATTTTATAAATATATGAAATATGTTTCTCGATCCCAGGTCAATGAAACACTTTAAACTGATGTGTGATAAAGAGCTCTATCATCTAAACACAGCATATATCGCATATCTTTTGGACGAATGGTCCTCCATCCCTCTAGTGTTCCAGGACTCATTGCTCAGGTGTATTGAAGCTGTTGTGGCAGCTCATGATGGCTCATGTTTCTGTTTATCTGTCACTAATCTGTACATAGATCCTGTCCAGGAACTACAAATAAGAATTTGCTAATAGTTAACTTTGTTACCTTTTGAGTTTATGCATCACAAATACGTCAAATTCCTATGTCACAATTTTAAAAACGTTTTCATATCGGACAACATATAGGGCAACAGCAATATATTTGTGCCAATATTACCCGAGGAATAACCGCATATATTGGCCAGACTGGTCAGGTGTTCACTGTGTATGGATTCCTGTCTGTGTGGCTATTTGTTTGTTATTTATAGATTATGGACTGTGCCTTTGAAAGGTGCTTTATGTAAGTTTTTGCTATAGCCACATAGCTAACGTTAGCATTCAATGGCACCTTTAAAATTACAATAAATATGTCAGTAGAAATAAAAAAATGGAGACCTACATTCCTCCCTCCACCACCAGGGAGCGTATGTGTGTGTCCAAGCCCGCCTGCAGCAGATTCACCATGCCATTACTGAACACCACCCTGCGACCTCTGCAGCCGACCTTACTGAACAAGACGATGGAGGGCAGAGACAGCACCTGGAGAGAGGAGGAGAGAGTTTAACCGAAATTCTCATATCCAAATCCAAAGGGCAGAAAAATTAATTTTCACATTATTTTCTACATACACACATACACTGTACTCACATTTCCAGAGGTGTGCATGGAGCGGATGGTAGAGTCTGAGGACAAGAAGCCCATGGCATCTGTGTTGGGATATTCTCCCTCCTCCAGCACGTACATCTTCTCTGTGAACTGTGCTCCTTCATAGGCCACCCAGCTGAAACAAACACATACACACATATTGTTGTCATTGATAATCTTCTATTTTGCCATAAACTCTGTAGGCTATGTATGTTTGAAATGACTTCTTATGACACTATTTTTTCCATTTAACTCAAATGCACAGATACAGAAACTATTTCTTATGATAACTATAAGCAAGTTTTACAGCTTCTGTGTTAGTGTGTTTACAGCCCACTATGACAAACAGAACTTTACATTACATTACATATCATTTAGCTGACGCTTTTATCCAAAGCCACTTACAATAAGTTAGTATTTATTAATAACTTATACATCATTTATTATGCCGCTTGCAGTTCCACCTGGTGTTTTGTGCCTACCTGCCAACCACCACCTTACAGGACCTGGGCATGAAGTCATCATCCAGAGCTTCTGTGTTCTCCTCCAGAGCGACCATCCTTCCCTGGAAGTCTGGCTCAGAGTAGAGCTGCACCTGTAACACACAGTACCACAATATACACTTTAGTGACCCCGCCAACAAACACAACCAGAACAAGTGGAGAGAAGTGGTCTTGTCTATTTTATATAAGGCCCTGAATGGGATGAATGGATGGATGATACCTTGTATTTTGATGATCCCATCAGCATCTCCTATAAAACAGAGAGGAAGGGAGCATTAGGAACATAGGCTCTGCACTATGAGACTTCTTGGAGACAAATATATAGTTGTTTCTAACATCAAAAAGTTTAAACTAATCATTACATATTATGCTTCTTTATAATTACATCACAATAAACCATATTTAAAACCCATAACCCTGTTTTTAGCCCAAACTAAAAACTACAATCACCCCCCCCTGTTGTATGTCTTCTCCAAATAGTGCAGTTTAAGATGATATACATTTGTTTTTTCCAGACTCATGAAGTCACCTTCAACCACCAAAATCAAATTATTTCCACCTGAACATTTTTAACAAATTCAAAGAAATGCCCTAAAATCTGCTGATTCTTTTTTTAATTCAATGCTTAATCAAAGTTGATGACATAAAATATCTTTTTTTGTACGACTCATTCCCAAAAGGGTCAATTTACTATAATGATAAGACAATGAAAAGCAACATATTCTAACATTTGTGATGCTGGAGCCATAAAATGATTTTGCTTGAAAATGATTTATTGATGTTGTTTAATTGATTTTGAATTCTCTGTCAGTCGACCAATGGTTGCAGCTACAAAACAGATCACTCCTTACATGGAAGACTGGCTGTATGGATGAGATCTTGAAGTTCTGGGCTCCCCAGTCGTCCGGGTTGGCATACAGGCCTTTTTCCAGCACATACAGCTCTCCACTGAACCCAGGTTTTTCAAATGCCACCCATCTGCCAGCGACACACAAAACACAACTTCCTCAGATGCACAAAACCACAGTGACTGACTAATTCAGCAGAACTCTTCTACTAGACAAAATAATGACTAATACTGTCACTTGACAATCACATTTTGGAAAAGCAGGCCATCGTCATCTGATTGGTTCTCTGATTAAATCACTGAGTTGAACAGTGAATCATTAGGAGAAGAGGAAGTCTACCCCTCAAAGAGGTTGTAAAACAATTTAACAGGCGATACAGAGTGAAGCAAACACTATAAAGGTGTGAAGAATTCATAGAGGGCATTATTTGTGTAGGTGTGTATAGTACGAGAACACTTTGTCATGTCTGTGAAGTGAGGAACAGAGTCAAATGTTTATCTCCCTCCTTATGATTTAAAAAAAAAAATCTATTTATAATTATGTTTTCATCATCATTTCTCCAGCTCTGCAGGATCCAGATCTGACACTACTCAACATCACATTACATTACATTTCATTTAGCTGAAGTGTTCATCCATGCAACTTACAATAAGTGCATTCAACTGTGAGGGTACAAACCCAGAACAACAAGAATCAAGTAAGTACAATTTGCAAAAAGCCAAACTACAAGTGCTACATGTAAGTAGCCATATTAAGAGCAACAACTTTTATTTTTTTTTTATCCAAGGAGTAGTCAGAAGAGATGTGCCTTTAGTCTACATGTGTAGACTTTCTGCTGTCCTGATGTCAACTGGGAGCTCGTTCCACCATTTAGGAGCCAGGACAGCAAACAGTCCTGACAATTATTATTATTTTTATTTACAGGTGCTACTATCAATATTAACATTGTTACATCTAAAAAATATCAAGTCGGGGTTTGATAGTTACACAACTATTCCCGGTCTCTCTGTTGAGATAATGTGGGATGTGATTTGGAGCTATACAAATAAAATTGAAATGAAAAAATTGAATACATTTTGGGTCAGATCTGGATAAACAAGCACTTTTTTTAAAAGGGTCAGATAGGGCGTTAGCTTGTACTGAGGTATGCACTCTCCGAGCACCCTTCTAGTTTTTTGTTATGTTTTTGTTTATTTGACAGTCAGCAGTGGAGCAGTAAGCAGGAAGCATGAGGGAGAGAATGGGTGTGATCCCCAGCTGGATTCAAACCACGCATTGTCGTTGCTGTTGGGCTGCATTTTAACTATTCAGCTACCAGGACACTCCCTTCCGTATGAATCTTAACCTTGTTATTGTTATTTTATTTTTTCTTTTGTTTTGGACTTACACTCCACCCATGACGTCGATGGACTGGGTCCTTATACCATGGCTGATGTCCTCCATGTTGAGGATGGGACCCAGTAAGTCGGCATTGAGTCCCAGCTGATCAAAGTTCTGCTCACTGAAGAGTTTAACATGTGGAGACTGGAAATCCTTAGGAAGAAAATAAGTCACATGGTAAAATAATTAGTAAGTGAAAAGGCAGTCCTGTCATTAACAATAAAACTCTTCCATGCAGGACATTTACTTTTTTTCTTGTAGTATCAGCAGAAAAAATACATGGAAATATGGAAATAAACTGCAGGTCAGTATTTCAGGTGACACTTACTGTGCACACAGGTCGAAGTGACAGGATTCCGTCCTCAGATCCTCCCCAGTCACTGTAATCAGGATATTCCCCCTCCTCAAGGATGTACTGCTGACCCTCAAAGTCTGCCTCCAAATATCCCACCCAACTAGGACAAGACAAAGAAATATCATGAAATATCAATCATGAAATATTTATAAATTATGTAATAAGCACACACACAGAGTTGGATTTCTCAAGCTGATACTCACAGACCACGGAGTATCTTTATAGAACCCACTGTTGGCAATGTTTTCTCTTTCTCATCATGTGTGTCTGAGTTCTCCTCTTCTGCTTCTTGCAAATTGTACACATCACTGTCCACCTCTATGCACTCTCCATCAAAGTTGGGCTTTTCAAACACCAAAGCCTGGAACAGGAAAGAAGAGGAAGAAGAAGATGAGTCTAAGCTGCAGGCAGACATCAGTTTATGCCCATGCATTTGTTTTGGGCCCATTTCTTATCCAAAGGCATAATACTATTTATTCCATGGATTACAATATATTTTAATATAGCGTAGCTCACATTTATGCCAGCATAGCAAAGGCACAACGTAAAAATGTTATTGGATATGCTGTCACATCTCTTTCTTTGAGCTGAAACTGTGTTAATTCCACTGCAGGGAGATTCCCAGAGAACCAAGTCAATGGTCCAATTTATTATGCCTTCCGAGGTAAATACATACAGACCATAATAAAAAGAAATACCTGACAGATGATGGAGATAAAATACAGGATCACTACATAAAGTCCAGTACGCAAGAACCTGTTAAGAAACTCAGGGATTTTACATGTGTTCCTTCTGAAGGATATGGAGACTGAATTTAGTTCTTTTAGGACGCTGTTAACACCTGTTATGAACATCCAGTCTGAGTGATGGTCAGCGCTACGTTCAGTTTGAATGCACCCAAATGTGTCCTGAGATCTGATCACATTCGTAGGTGGCCTGGGAAACATATGAAGAATTTAATACCATTTGTGAGCAGACGAGCTCAACACTGTCCGTTCGTGATTAGATCTCTCTGGACGGATGTTAATACCAGGTCTGAACAGGGCCTAGGATAGTTTGAGGTGTAAATAAAAGACCCTGTGCTGAGGGGTAGTACTTCAGGAATTAAAGGGGAAGAAATTACAGTGTTGAAGCTGGGAGATCATAATCATAGCAATGTAGTCGGCTTCTACTGTATAAGGAGAGAGATAAGAAGAGATGGTGAAAGAGAAAAAGAGGAAGCATAGTGTACTTTATATTCACCGCAGATAATTATAGATACAGGAGTTGTGGTATAATGCAAAACAAACCTTGACTTCATGAGGATGCTCGACCCTTATTGCTCCCTGGAATGAAGAGATACACATTTGTCATTATAAGACAAGCGACAAGACGACACTAGAGAAGAAACAATGCTTGCTTCATGTGCTGTACCATTCGGATTGGTCTGAGCGAGCCGATTAAGGGCTGGGAGAAACCCCAGCTCTCTGGGCAGGGGTACTCGCCCACCTCCAGCACTCCTACAAAACCTTGAAAGCCTGCATCGGTATACACCAGCCAGCTACAGCCAGTCAGCGTGAGACAGGGGAAGAAAAGGAGAGCAAAGGTGAGTGGGTTAACATATGGAGTGTAATGACCCTTTAGTGACCTTTTTCTTCACAGTTCTTTCTGATCCTACTACCGAGCGAAGGGAGTTCACTTTCACCCTTTACACACCATGAGCCAGTTGACATGCTAACCATCTGTAATCAGCAGCACAAGCCCTACCCCGCGGCCTGCATTCCTTCACAGACACAAAACAGATGCTGCACACACACACACACACA